GACACTTTTTATATAGAAAGAGATAGTGGACGATATTTATTATAAAAACGTAATGCACTAATTAATAGAAAGTTAAATTGGCTGATTTTTTTCTCTAGTCATTTTATTTTGCTCAACATGTCTTCTCACTAAATATATCAGCAAATTTGTTTAATCGATTAACTAATATTTGGTAAGTGGGCTTAATCGAAATAATTTTTTGAGTTCGGTGACCATTACTTCTAAGAAAAAAGTTTGATGATTAACCTATTATTCTCCTTCAAGAACACGCAGAGAAACTATTTTACTGTGTAAATTTATTTTTAGTTACTTGAGCAATATCCCAATAGGCAATGCAGTGGTACATGATCACATCATACACAGGAAGCTTCTACAGCTAAACTCTTCGTAACCCCTCTACATGGATCACCAAACTTACTGATTGAGACTCCAATGCTGCAGCTTCTTGATCCAATGCAAGCCTGGGGAAAAAATTACGCAATTTGCGAGTAAATGTGAGTAACAGCTGAATTAATCGTAAATTAGAAAATACGCGCTAAACTTTGTTGAAAGAATAAGCAATTCGTAACCTTCTGTACGACAGGAAGAGCCTGTTTGCTGCTGCATTGCCCGTGATTAAAACTTCCACATGTTCCCCGAGGAGTGCCAAAGCTTGCGAACTTAATAGAAGATATGACCTGATCTGGGTGAGGACATTCTAATGACAGAGTTGGTCCGGCATTCTTTCTTGCTTCTTCATCCGAGGTCCACATATCGACTGGAAGTGGGTGATTTTCTGAAATTCGTGAGCATAGACTTTCTACTTCTCTAGTTGCAAAAGATATCTGATTTGGATTACCCCCCGTTTCCTCGAACAAAACCAGCACGTTACCACTGGGCTGTAGCCAAGAACGAGGAACGTGGTAGCTGCAAGATTATATGGATACAAACCTTAAGTACCAATATTTAAAGGGGGACTTTATATTAGAGTAGAAATTTAAGCACTTACAGCTGCTGAGTTGGCTTTCCGCAATTCCTCAGACATTTGTTTGAACTGTAAGATCCTCTATAATTGCAGGAGTCGGCGCAACCTCCGTTTGAAGCTTTATTGGTTGGCCAATAACGACCAATGCTTTGTCCATTTACCCATGCCTGACCTTTGCCCATACCCGTAAAGTCTATTGCAACCGGACTACTTCCAGCAGGAGCATCAAAAGTTGACTAAATCAACAAAAACAAAGTATCGCTTATCCGTGCTAAACATAAAGTTAAAACTATTCAGCAGCTTGTAGCATTTAAGTCGACAAATAATCAGGATATATTAACTTGGTTGCTATAATTTATTGATGGATTCGACTAATCCACAGTGGATCATAAACAGAGTGAGAAGTCATCGGAGTTACCTTGTACCATATTAGAGGTTGATTAGTAGGCAAGGCAGGTTGAGAAACCCAAAGAGAGGTGCTTCCACTAGACAGATCTAACTCTTCACCTCTCAAGCCAATCTGCTTTAATATATTTTAAAATGAGAGGAAGGAAAGACGTAAAACAGAACATTTTCTCATTCAAATATACTTTTAGAACATTGATCATAAGAACCTTGTGAAATTCATTGTAGCCAAGATCTAACTTTTGCGCCAAAATAAGTTATCATTGTATGTGCAGTTCAATTTGAATTTCCATTCAAGCTAACTAAATATCTTTACCATGCACAGAAAAAAATTGTGAAAATTCACAGCAATGACCTGATACGTCCACTTTTGTGAGGAGAGGTCAATAGTTGATCCATTTTGTGAACCTTTCAACTGAACTGGACCAGTGATTCCTGCTCCCAGTGTATCGAAGTAGGCTCCATAGTTCTGAATTAAGAAGGCTTGCATTAGAAAATGCTTCTGTAGAGATTTATGATAAAAAAGTTGTTTGGAGAAGTTTACCTGTAGCCCCACTGTCAAACTCAAGAGATCAATTTTGTTTGATCCTTTAATGAGGTTGACCGGAACCTCTATTGAAACTTTACGGTTTCCATTGCTCCCTTTTCCACTCCCTACATAAGAGTCAATGTTTGAGTTAACAAATGCAAACTTGTGTGAAGTCCGAGCGATATAATTAGAGGCAAAAGAAGTTTAAAGGAAACAGACAGCTATTGCTTGTTTCACTCTCCTCAAAAAAAATGATCTATAAACTTCAGTTACATCAATAAAAACCTATGCAAACAAATGAGATACCACATAATGAGAACGAGAATATACCCCTTTTTTTCTTATTAGTAGATGGACTTCATTGATTTGAACGTTAATTTATAAAAGTAATAAACTTAGCACCTGATAGAAAGTAAAAATTAAGTTCAGAAATTTACGCACTTACTTCTAAACTATGATGTGGACTGGTTGCTTGATATGCACTAGATCTTTCTTGTTTTCCACTAAATATTCTGGTTAATCTAATCAGCTTGTTCATTGACAATATCTTCATGCTTTTGATAATTCTTAAGCCATGTGGTAAAAAGCAATGTACAAATGAGAATGAATTACACAGTGAAACTCACACATAGGCTGAATAGATGGCATTGCAAGAGTCAAAAAAGAGGGGGAAAAAATCTGTGACAGATCCTGCTTGTAACACCTATTTCACATTACCTACAAGCTTCCCATTGATAAAAGCATGTAGCGTGTGTCCAAGCGAATCAATGTGAAGTACTGTCCCAGATCCATCTTTAAGGAGATGCTCGTTCTGATTCATTTCAATGCTGTAAAATAAATAAAAAATGTTAGAAAACACTATACATAATACCAATTGCATACGCAGCAAACTTTATACCTTATAGAATACCACAGATAATCACTTTTATCTGCAGTAGTATTGATCTGCTCCAGTAGCCCAGTTTTCGTGAATGCACTCTGACTTGAAATGCCTACAGGTTCGTTAATCCAACTCCAACCCGAGAAGGATGCACCAGAAGAAGTATCATCTTTTGAAGGTAGGCTAATGAACTTTGAGAGGGTAATCACAGAGTTAATCTGTCATTTGGGTATGAAGTCAGAAAATTAGTTCATGCTATTTTCATCATCTATAAGTTGTCCCCAAAAGTGTAATAATTTAAATGGGTATTCAAAAACTTCTGAACAAAATAACCGTGGAACTTAATTACATAAGGGATAATCACTAAACATAACTAATTGAAGTCTTAGAAACAATCCACTGCAGGACAAGTTCAGAGATTTTCGTCCTCCTAAATTCAGCTTAATCTATTGGAAATGTAAATTGTAAGATGGTCTCTAATTGGATGTATTCTGTCTCCTACAAACTCAAGTTAGAGACCTGAAATACCTTATGAAAAGATCAAAACATAAATTTTGAACTATAAGCCATCAGTACTTTCAATAAGATAAATTTACGCAAATTCGAACACGATTTATCCCATGGAAGTACAACAAAACATTTTAGCATTATATGAGTCGATAGTCGCTAGAAGAGACATAGCATTAAGGTTTATGGGGCAGACCTTCGCAGTATTGAGTACAACATTCTTGCAGTCTGGTAAAATGTTCACAGACCAAGCAGGCAAGTGATAGGAATTTCCATTAAAGTTCACATTTGCGTCTTTTTTTGTGTCCCAATTGGCAAGAAAAGCAGCACAAAGACCTGATTCAGTTTTATATACAGTGGCCTGAAACAGAAAATTGTGAAATGTGAGGCAGATCTAAAGAAAAATTGTATGTTGGTATCTAAAAGAATAATGCTATCTAGCCCTAGTGGTGTTTAACACCAATCTAGGTGCAAGCCGATGTGGCATTTATTCAATTAAATGTAAGGACATAGGGCCCATTTAATTTCACCAATCATGTATTGCCATCTAAACTGGTGTTAAACACCACTGTGGCTAGAGCATTACACTATCTGAAAATATGAGTATACAGGTTGGTCTCAGAATGGTACGGAAAGATGCAGGTATATTCTCTTTGATGACTGAGAATCCTTGGATAGGCTCAAAAATAGTAGAACTACAGAGTACAGACCATATCATTAAACTCAGACGATACATAATCTTGCATCTAAACTCAGTGAAAGTTGATTCACTCGTGCATTATCAGAAGCCAGAGATGCAACTTGTTATAGGAAGAATGTCTAAAGATGAAGTGCAGTTGTAGCGCAACACCAACGTATTTGTGCGATAATGGTGACCAGTGTAACGACTATGCAGCGTATTATATAAATATATATAGGGGCACTGTAAATGGTGGGCAATGTGATATGTAATAACCAGATTAAATATGGAAGAAACAATGAAAGGGATACTCGTGAAAATTACATTCATGCTCCCCTCACATGTTCACCAGATCATTACTCAAAACCAAGATATCGTTTGAGCTTTATGTGTTTTATGTACATCCTAGTTTACTCTATTTACAATTATAATGAATAAAGACCCTTTTTTTGGTCTGTGTGTGGAAGACAAGTGTATTGATAATCAGGAAGCTAGATACTTCAAAATTAAGAGAAATGTTTAAATTCTCATGGTGTATAGATATGTTTATAAGAGGATATTTTTGGTCAAATATATAAAACCTAAATATCCAGTGATAGTTAATGAAAAATAAATAGACCCGAATAATTCTGAGACCTATAAGAAACCTATATACTATATGTTGAAAAATCGGTGAAGCCGACGTTGTTTAACAAGAATAAGATGAAAGGTTAAAGGAGTGGAAACCATGCACTACTGTGAATTAGAGCGACTGGCAGAAAGTTGCAGTATTACCTCCATGTTTGAGCCAAGTGAAGTAGTCTTAGGGTCAGTTGCCAGCATCGCCTCTTCACATAGCTTTATAGCCTTGTGAACATCTTTTAAGTGACCCCATTTAGGCTGTCTAAGAAGGCCTATAATAGACAAGGAATACTTCTTCAGCATCTAAATTGGGCAAATTGATCCTTTGTGGTTTGTTAGTTTATTATTATAACACCTTTAGGATATGTATGATGGGTTATAACATTCTTGTATTGTTAGCAGCAGCAGATACAAGTATTATTTAGGCATGAACGACTATGCAAATTGCTCCTCAGTTCAAAATTGACAGCACTAATGGAATAAAGGGTAAATGAAGGGAGAGGCATACCATACTCATCAATTGGAGCATCATAATCATAGGTAGTCGTAATGAATGGTCCACCAGAAGTCCTGCCAAAGTTAGTTCCACCATGGTACTGTAGAAAGGAAATAAAGTTTGTGAAAAGAGTTCGCATGGTCACTATTTTCTATATAGTGATAATGAACATCGAAAGTACCATGTAATAGTTCTGGAAAGTTCCACCTAGCTGGTAAAAACGTGCCACAGCGAAAGCAAGGTCTTCCACTGGTCTGTAGGGCACGGCATCCCCAAATGCAGAGAACCTGATATATTAGACAACATAGACAGTTGAATAATGCTTAAGCAGTCATATATCAAAGTTTAAACCATCATGCATTTAGAACAATGTATACAGCTCAAGGGACTATGAAACTAGATGTCCTACCATCCACTCCAGTTCTCCGTCCACATTTTTGGCTTCTTGTTAGAATTTGGAGTGAATTGATCACAATAGAACCCATTGCACGTGTTAATCTGTAATAATTTGAAAGAACACTCCAAGATTCATTGTTTTGATTGTTCATTGATTATACATACACAAGAAGTTGGGTAAACCAACAACAAACATGAAGTGCCAAAATGATTTATCTTTAGCAACACAACTCACAATAGGATCGGGAGCATCACTTTGTTGGCACATCACCCACGGTACCCCGGTATCTAAAGATATCGCCATTTTTGCTGCCCAGTTTATGTAGGTTTTGGCACTAGGATATGCTGAATCAATGTTGCCATATTCATTTTCAATCTGGAAAAAAATAGTCAATAAAATCCTGCTATCATAAGTCTCATTACAAGAAAGTTGCAGTCTCTTAAGGAATGAAGAGAGCAAATCCGATTAGGAATGTTGTTTATCCATTAAAAGATTGTCGTATTATGAAAGTGCACACCTGAGACAAAATAATGGGTCCTCCTTGGGATGCATATAGATTTTCTTGCTTCATCATGTCCACAATCTTGGCCGTAAATCGCTGCATTTCAGCCTAAAACGGAAAGCTCTCGTTTACTTATAACACTGAACTATAAGCAGCTTTAAAATGTTCAATATACAGAAGAATCAATGGGGAAAAGAGAAACCTTGAACGGCTCATTATCAGATCGAAGCACAATTCCGGGTATAAAATGCAACCAAATAGGAAATCCTCTGTCCCAAAATAAAATAATCACTCACATTAGCATGAAAGAATCAATAATTTCTCTCAGTTGTATTGAGTGCAAGAAAATACTTGTAAAGTACTTCCATTTATAGGGATTTCAAGAAAATATTAAAAGAAACAGTAGACGAGATTATTTACCCATAGTTCCATTCGGCGCAAACATAAGGACCGATTCGAAGATGAACATATAAGCCAGCCTCCCCGACCAATTTCACGAACTTTACCAAATCATTTCTTCCTTCAAAATTGTACTGCAAAATTTTCTTGAACTATCAGTATTTACAATTTTGTATTTACTCTTTTGCCATTGATTTCTTTAACATTCAACTTAATAGTATTTTTAATTCATAAAGTTCTTGTCATTCTAGAACAAGAAACTGAAGAAAAAAATTGATTATTTATACTACACTTTTTCTCACTTTCCCTGTCCTCGAAAACAAACAAATGCAAGAATTGAAGTAAAGAATAGTCAAGAAAAGATATTACCTTTCACACATGAAATAAATAAATAAATAAAAGAGAAAAATTACCTGGCCTCGAACTGGTTCATGCAAATTCCAGAAAACATAAGTCTCAATTACATCCAATCCTCCTTGTTTTGATTTCTGTATTAAGTCCGGCCACATCTGCATTCACATTTCACATATTTAGTACCCACAATTAGATACAATAACTGTATGCATACATTTATACGTATACAAGTCTGTGTTTCTGTACAGTACTGACATCGGGGGTGCTCCGAGGGTAATGAATGGATCCAGAGACCAATACTCTGCGTTTGCCGTTGATCACCAATGCCCGGTGATCGTACGTCACATTGTCGGCAAAACAAAACGACACCGTACTCAAAGCCAAAAGCAAAAATACAACCACAAATCTTCCACCACCCATTTTGCTCTCTTCAATCATCTTCAGTGTGAAAGTATTTATATTGTCTTACAAACTAAATCCAACACTTTTTCTTTCTTAAAGCAGAGTTTAAGTTTGGCTTAAAACTGTTGCTTAATTGAAATCAGTTGTGTGGAGTGGGAAGGGATACAAAGAATGTATGAGAAACTAAGGGAAGCTAGCTAAAGTACGCCGGAGACGACACGCCAACTCCCTCTTCGTCATTATCGTTTGCGTTAACTAACGTGACAACAATTTATCGTCTTCTTCCTCCTCTGTTAATGTAGTGTGACTGTATATAAATGCTTGGACATAACTTTTGGGATAAAATTTGTTTTATAATAAATGTAATGATAGGCTCGAAACACGAATGCCAGCACAAATGTTCCTTATATTGCATTTTCTGTATAAAATTATTATTTTTTATCTAAACATTCATAACCACAGTTAATTTATTATCCACACATTTCATTGAATTTCCACTTATTCCTCTTCAAAAATTACTATATAATTTTACACGAACAAAAGCATAAGTTGGGCAGCAAGTCCAAAATCATGTCAACTTTTAACTCAACGCAAACGCTTACTTATCGCATATTCTTTTCAGTCTTTTTTTGGCACACTCGTAGAGTTCGCTCGAAGTTGTCGCAAGCTCATGACTTGCTTGCATGAGGGAGATGTAATTTAGCTACCGAATCTTAGATATATATATTCTCTCTTGCTAAATTGTCAAAAAAAAAAAAAAAAAT